TGTTTGGGGCAGGTCCCAGTTCCTGGTTGCTTTCTTCAGGTTGTGTCCCCCCTCTTAGAATTCTTTGTAATGCTGGCTTAATGTTTATGTATTCATTTAGTTTTTCTTTGCTATTAAAAGTTTTCAGCTCTCCATCGAATGTGAATGCTAGCTTTGCCGGGTATATCAGTCTGGGTTGGCAGTTATTGGCTCTCAGGGCTCGTATGGTGCTTTCCCAGGCTTTTCTTGCATTCATTGTTTGTGTGGAGAGATCTGCAGTGATTCTAATTTTTTTCCCGTTGTAGTATAGCTCCTTCTTCATTTTTGCTGCATGCAGGATTGTTTCCTTATTATTCAGATCCATCATTTTTACTATAATGTGTCTAGAAGTGTTTCTCCTGGGATCTTGCTTGTTGGGTGTTCGATAAGCTTTTGTGATGTAGTTAAGATGGTCGTTTTTGAGGTGGGGAAAATTTTCATTGACTATCTTGTTAAATAGGTGTTGCATTCCCTTGCTCTGGAATTCCTCACCTTCGTCCACTCCGATTATGCGAAGGTTAAATTTTTTAGCATTATCTGCTTGCTCTTGAATTTCCCTTTGGTTTAATTTGAGTGATTTTTCCATATCTGTCACTTTTTGGTCCAGTTGGTGTATTCTGTCTTCTGTATCTGACACTCTACCTTCCATTTCATTCACTCTTGACCGTGGCTTCTATTGTGGTTTGCATGGAGGAAATGGATCCCTTTATGGATTCAATGTTGGTTCTCACCTCATTGAGAGGTGAGATCAGTATGCATTACCTCTTATTTGGTGTTAATCTCACTTCTTACTGAGGTTTGTGCAGCTTCTATTTTTGCATCCAACTTTTGTTTGATATCCTGTATCTCTTTTGATAGTTCATCCTTGTGCTCTTTCAATTTCTGATCCATTTCTCGCTTTATTTCTTGAGTCATTGCCTCCAGCAACCCTTGGATGTAGCTTTTGTCTTCCATTCCTGCTTTGCTCCCACTGGGGCTCTCCCCTGCGTGGCTGCTGGCTTTTGAGGTGAGCTTGCTGTCCTGGGTGGTGGTAAACCTTGTGATTTTTCTCTGTGATTTTCGCATGGGGGTTCAGGAGACTGCTCTTCAATTTTGTTTTGGTGTGTCTGTCTTTGCTTGGTTGCTGATTCTGTATTGGTAGAGAGAGTCTGTGCCTGATCTGGGTTCTGTTGGGAGCCTATTTCCAGCTGCTATTCTGACTTACTTAGGATTCTCAGCTCTCTGCTGTAGATTGCTGGCAATTCCCGCCTTTGGAAGAGTTGAGCAGCCTAGACTGCTTGTGTTTGCTCCTACGGGTGCTCTTGGGAAGATCAGATGCTCTGGATGCACTCTCCCAAATACTGGAGTCTGCTATGGGCTCCTGATGTGTTTTTGTTTGTTTTGGGCTGGTTGTGGGCTTGAACTCTGGGTTTGGGTGCTGTCCCTCAGCTCTTCAGCGCAAGGCTGGCACCCTACCATTTGAGCCACAGCACCACTTCTGACCCTTTTTGCTTTTGTGATGCTGAGGAATCAGATCCAGGGCCTCATACATCCAAGACTATCACTCTATTGCTGAGCCGCCTTATCAGCCTGAGCTCCTGCTTACTATCAGGTGCTGGCAGCCTGTGTTGCCCAATTCCCAGCCTAGGGTATATGGGTGGAGTTTTGGTGGGGTTTGGGCTTCTCTTGTCCTGAGCCTCCAGGTCTTTTGTTGTCACAGGCGTGCTTCCCGGGGAGTGTTGTTTCCTCGTTTTCTCCCCTCTGTTGAGGCGTATGCTCAGCTTTTTACTTCAGTTGGGAGGAGTTGGTTGTGTTGTTCAGGCGCCGGATCCCCGGGCCTGGCTCCAGCCCCAGCCTGGAGTGCGCTCATTAGGCCTGTGCTGATGTGTATACCACCTAGGTTATGCAGCCTGGAGGACACAGTTCAAATTTCTTCTACTGTTGGTAGTCTTGACCCAGGGGCGCTGTTCCTGGCTTGGGCATTTAAGCTCCCTTCCAGGGGCGCTCTTGCTCTGGCCTGGCCAGCAGAGTGTGCTCCACCGGCTGGTGGAGCTCTCGAACAGTTCCCAGTTTTAGTGGGTCCTGTGGTCCGGGTTTTGGGGTAGGGAGTCTAGGTCAGGGTCTGGGGATTCCCTCCAGCTCTGGTCTCCCTTGAGGGATACACTGTCCCCTGTGGGGTACTCACCCTGGAGCTGGTTGTTTCTGTGTGGTGTAGGTCGTCAGTTGTTGTTGCAATCCGAGTTCAGTTGGGGTGGTTGCGGGCTGGGTTGGGCGGCCCCCGCCGGGTTGTTGCGATCGCGATTGGGCGGGTGGTCTGCCGACAGGTCCCTTTGTTGCGCTGCTGGTGCTGGGCGGCTTTGGCGGGATGGAGCCTCTCCGCTCCGGTGGAGAGTGAGGGGTGGGGATGGGATCCTCGTGGAGACTCCCGGCTGGTAGGTTTCTCTGTTCCTGGTAATCCGCTGTTCTGCAATCCGGTATCTGGTGATCTGCAAGCAGCCCCCTGTGTCTCTGTGGCTCCAGCAGCCCCCGCCGGTCCGGCTGGCCGGCGGCTTGGCGCACTGCCGCGCGGCCAGTAAAGGTTGGGGGAGGGGTCTTCGCTCTTCTCTGTTCTGAAATTCTTCTTTTCCTCTCTTTCTTTTTTTGTTATTTTCCACCTCTGGTTTTTCTCTGAGTGTTCGTCTTTTTGTTGTTGTCGGTCTCTTGGGGAGATTAAGCGTTGGAACTCGAACTCTCTTTTTGGTTGGAGAGAGCTGTGGCGTTTCCCTACTGCCCCGTCGCCATCTTGGTCCCCCCTCCAATATTTTTTTTCTTAATAATCTATGCATATAGTTGTTCAAAAGATTAGGTACTTTCAAAAATCTTGGCTAGTCTGAGAGACAAAATATATTCTGTTTTTGCTTTATTTATTTATTTATTTATAAGCCAGCCTGGGCAGGGATGTCCATGAGATTCTTCCCTCCAAATAACCAACAAAAAGTTGGAAATGGAGTGGTGGCTCAAGTGGTAAGCGAACAAAAAGCTAGGCCCAGTGTTCAAGCCCCAGGACTCACACACACAGACACACACACATACACAAAATCACTCCAGTGTCATCTCAGAAACAATGGGGACTGGAATGTGATTCCGTATATTTCACTCAATACTCTTTTCAAATGATAAAGCTAATATCAGTTGAAATACCTTTTTTTTGGGGGGGGGGGTGCTGTCCCTGAACTCTTCAGCTCAAGGCGAGTACTCTACTGCTTGAGCCACAGCACCACTTCCAGTTTTCCAGTGTTTTTTTTTTTTTTTTTTATTGGAGATAAGAGTCTTACGGACTTTCCTGCCCGGGCTGGCTTTGAACCTTGATCCTCAGATCTCAGCCTCAGTAGCTAGGATTACAGGCGTGAGCCACCAGTGCCCAGCTTGAAATATCTAGAACTAAATGTTTTACATTTATGTTTTTGTTTCTGTTTTTTAATAAGACTTGTTAATTGGGTGCCGGTGGCTTATGTCTGTGATCATAGCTACTAAGGAGGCTAAGATCTGAGGATCATGGTTTGAAGCCAGTCCTGGCAGAAAAGTCTGTGAGACTCTTACCTATGATAAGCTAATCAGAAAAAGCCAGAAATGGTGCTGTGGCTCAAACGGTAGAGCACTAACCTTGAGCATAATTAGGCTCAGGGACAGTGCCCAGGTCCTGAGTTCAAGCCTGGCAAAAACAAAACAAAACAAAAAACCTTGTTAGCTATTTTCCTTTATCGTTGTCTATTTTTCAATTGGGTATCCATTCCATTTTTATTTGAAATTCTGTTTAAGTTTTTGTTGTATATCAGACATCAGATATTCTCTTCAGTGAATTTAATCTACATCTTTAGCAGTTTCTTTATCCTCACCCACTTCCCTGTTGAAAACTTGCTGCCCATGTGGCTGGGTATATAACTTAATGGTAGAGTGCTTTCCTAGCATGCATGAAGCCCTGGGTTTGATTCCTCAATACCATATACACTGAAAAAGCCAGAAGTGGTACTGTGGCTCAAGAGGTAGAGTGCTAGCCTTGATCAAAAGAAGCTCAGGGACAGTGCCCAGGCCCTGAGTTCAAGCCCTAGAACCAGCAAAAACTAAACAAAGCAAAACAATACAAAAAAAACTTGTTGCCCATTTGACATCATCATTTTTGTTATGTATTTATTTGAGTTATGTATTTCTTTGAGTTGGATGTACCACAATGTACTTTATTATTTATATGGTACCGTATAGGGGCTTGAACTCAGCGCTTCACACTCTTTCTTGGCTTTTTCCGCTCAAGGTTGGTCCCTACCAGTTGAAGCACACCTCCACTTTCCAGCTTTTTGATGGTTAACTGGAGATAAGACTTATGGACATTTCTGCCCAGGCTGTGTTTGAACCTCAAATCTCAGTCCTCTGAATAATTGGGATTACAGGTGTGAGCTACCAGCACTCAGCCATAAAGTACTTTTTTTTTTTTTGGTTGGTTGGTTGTGGGGCTCGAACTTCAGCTCAAGGCAAGTGCTTCAGCTACAGTGCCACTTCCAGTTTTCTGGTGGTAAATTGGAGATAAGAGTCTCACAGACTTTCCTGCCCAGGCTTGCTTTGAGCTGTGATCATCAGATTTCAGCCTCCTGAATAGCTAGGATTATAGGCATGAGCCACTGGCTCCCGGCCATAATGTACATTTTATCTACTAATTTTATTTATTTATTTATTGTTTGTTTATTTTTTGGTTGGTCATAAGGCTTGAACTCTAGGCCTGGGCGCTGTCCCTGAGCTCTTCAGCTCAAGGCTAGTGCTCACCACTTGAGCCTCAGTACCACTTCTGGCCTTTTCTCTTTATGTCCTGCTGAGGAATTGAACCTAGGGCCTCATGCATTGGAGGCAAGCACTCTACTCCTGAGCCACCTTCCCAGCCCTAATATCCTCTAATTTTAGGGATTCCTTCAGAAGGCCCAAGTGTGTCAAGCAGTGTTTTTCAGTTTTTCCATCTATTTTCTTCCTTTATCTAGATGCTAATCCTGATGTGACAATGACAATGCTTCGCTGGATCTACACAGATGAGTTGGAATTCAGAGAGGATGATGTGTTCCTGACTGAATTGATGAAACTAGCAAATCGGTTTCAGCTACAGCTCCTTAGGGAGAGGCAAGTCCCAGCAGATATGTTCAAGCACCTCAGATGGTGGTGGATGAGCTTTAATTATGCCAAGCTTTGGGAAAGCAGCTTCTTCTGCTCATGTAAATAAGTTTTGCAAGGTGTTCTTTTAAAGGTGATGATGAGAAGAAAATCTGATAATCTTGCTTGCTTTTTCTTACCTTTTAACAAGCTAAATTTTTCCAAAGCTTTGTTATTTTTTCTCTTTTACTGATCTGTTACCTCAGAATACATAACTATGTAAGCTGATACATTGAATATTAAATAATATAATCCAGTGTCTAAACCCTCAACTTTCCTTCCCATTCTGTTTTCTTTGACAATTTATTCTGCTTTCTGATACATCTAGGCAGATAAAGCTTCTTTATTGTTATAGAAGCACATTAATGCCTAACTTAATTTAGAAAGGTACAATTCAGTAAGTTTACAGCTGTGTTTCTATACTGTAAAATCACACTTCATTAAATTATTGCTCTTTTAGGTTTCAGGAAGATAGCAGCTATGGTGTGTGTGTGTCTGTGTGTGTGTGTGTGTGTCTGTGTCTGTGTCTATGTGTGTATATGCGTATGCTTGTGCTGGTAGATAGCAGCTATGGTGTGTGTGTGTGCGCGCGTGTGTGTGCGCATGTGTGCATGCTTGCACTGATATTAGGGCATTGTCCCTTAGCTTATTTGTTCAAGGCTAGTGCTCTACCACTTAAGCCACAGCTCCATTTTTGACTTTTTGGTAGTTTATTAGAGATAACTGGGCTTTTCTGCCGAGACTGGCTTTAACCTCAATCCTCACATTGCAGCCTCCTGAGTAGCTAAGATTGTAGGCACAAGCCACCAGCACTCATCAAGCAGCTATAATTTTTGTTTGTTTGTTTTTTAGGTCATGGGGCTTGAACTCTAGGCCTGGGCCCTGTCCCTGAGCTCTTCAGCTCAGGGCTAGCACTCTACCTTTGAGCCACAGCACCATTTCTAGTTTTCTGAGTGGTTAATTGGAGATAAAAGTCTCGTGGACTTTTCTGTCCAGGGCTGGCTTTGAACCATGATCCTCAGATCTCAGCCTCCTGACCAGCTAGGATTATAGGTGTGAGGCACTGGTGCCTAGCATAGCTATGATTTTTTTTTTTTTTTTGTTGATCGTGGGGCCTGAACTCTGGGCCTGGGTGCTATCCCTCAGCTCTTCAGCTCAAGGCTAGCACTCTACCACTGAACCACAGTGCCACTTCTGGCTTTTTCTGCTTATGTGGTGGTGAGGAATTGAACCCAGGGCCTCATGTGTGCAAGGCAAGTACTCTACCACTGAGCCACCTTCCCAGCCCCACAGCTATGATTTTTTAAATAGAGTTTTTTCTCTTTTGCTCTCCCAAGTTGGCTTTTAGAATAACAGAATGTTCACCACAAAATGTCAAATAAAATGCCTTTGAGCTTTACACATGCTATGCATGTTAGAGATATGGCCCTTGGTGATCAGTCTTTTTGAGAGAGTGTCTTTTTACATCATTTATGGATCTCTTATATTCTGTTGGATTCATTTTCTCTTAGTGATAAAGGCTGGTTTCAGTCACCAAGAGACACTGTACTTGTTAATGTATTGCTCTTACATGAGAGCCAAGAGACTTTGCTGTGTAGAGCTACTTGCTCTGTTTTTACCATGGGCCTGATTCCCCTGGGACACTCCCAATGCCTCACACAAATCAGTAGACACAATATTCCATACTGTCTAATTGATGCAGGTTTGTCTATATTTCAGTGTATAAATCCAATTAATAAATCAACAGATCCAAGATCTATAGGATTAGCCTAATAGTATTAGCAATGTATTTATTAGCAAAGTAATAGTCAGCTACTAGTACAGCTAACTTTACTATTAACATCTTGCAGTTAACTGTTTTGGAGTAAATTGAGACTAATTTTAATTAGATTGAGTATTAATACCATTTTTATCAGAGCATCTGAGCTTTTATTAACCATGTCTGACTTGTCTATAAATTTAATTGTTTTGGTAAAACTTCACTGGTTATGGCATAGATTAGAGAATTATAATGTACATAATGGTTATTTAAGTAAAATGATGGTTGTTTATGGAGCTTCCTGACTGTTGACATTAGCAGATGCCCAAATGGGTATGGTTGGATATAGAGTTTTTTTTAATTGTGAAAATACTGTACAGAGGGATTGCAATTACATGGGCAAGATAATGAGTACATTTCTTATCAAGCATTGTAGCCTCCTCCTTTGTTTCCCCTTCCCATTCCATCCTCCCCCCCTTTCTCCCCCTCCTACCAAAGTTGTAAAGTTCGTTTTGGACATAATGACTAGTACATCTCATTGTTGCAATAGGTCCACCTGTATCCCTATTTAAACAATTTGTTTTTTCCTTTCCCCTCCACAGATTATAACAACATCAAATACAGTGAAAGCAGGGGTTACACCGTGGGAGAGGGACATACAAAGCAACAAAGAAATAATCTTATAAATGTGTTAGAAACAATCGCATGAAAGAAAAAAATTTGAATACATATCTTAGGGTTCATTTCCCTAACATCAACTTATCTGACCTTTTCTACTTGACTCAGACATATACTAGTTATTGGAAATAAGGGAAACCATGGGACCTATGTTTCTTTGGGCCTGGCTTACTTCACTTAATACAATTATTTTTTCCAAGTCTTTCCATTTCCTAACAAATGAGACAATGTCATTCTTTCTGATGGAGGCATAGAATTGCATTGTGTATATATACCACATTTTCTTGATCCATTCATCTACTGAGGGGCATCTGGGTTGGTTCCATATTTTAGCTATGGTAAATAAGGCTGCAATAAACATAGTCGTGCTGGTAGCTTTAGTGTGGTCTTGTTTGTGAACATTTGGGTAAATGCCTAAAAGTGGGATTGCTGGGTCACAGGGGGGCTCTATGTGGAGTCTTTTTAGGAACCTCCATACTACTTTCCAAAGTGGTTGAACAAGTGTACACTCCCACCAACAATGCAGTAAGGTTCCCTTCTGACCACATCCCCTCCAGCATCTGTTGTTATTAGAGTTCTTGATTATAGCCATTCTAACTGGGGTGAGGTGGTATCTCAATGTTGTTTTGATTGCATTTCTTTTATGGCTAGAGAGGTTGAGCATTTCTTCATGTGTCTATTGGCCATTCTTCCTCTTCAGAGAAGTTTGTCTTTAAGTCTTTAGCCCACTTATGTATTGGGCAGTTGTTTCTTTGAAGATTTGTTGTTGGGGGGTTTAATTTTTTGAGTTCCAGGTATACTTTAGATATGAGACCCTTGTCTTGTTGTATGGCTAGTGAAGATCTTCTCCCAATCCATGGGCTTTCTATTGATCTTGCTACTTATGTCCTTTGCCATGCAGAAGCTCTGCAATTTCATGCAATCCCATTTGTCCAACCTTTCTTTGATTTGTTGTGTTTTTGGGTCTCTATTAAGAAAATTTCAGCCTGTGCCAAGGAGACCTAGGGTTTTTCCTATTCCATCCTGTAATGTTTTCAGAGTGTCTGCTTTGACTTCGAGGTCTTTGATCCATTTGGAGTTGATTCTGGTGCAGGGTGATATATAAGGATCTAGCTTTAGTTTTTTACAAGTAGTTAACCAATTTTGCCAGCACTATTTACTGAAGAGGCTGTCTTTCTTCCATTCTATTTTTTTAGCTCTCTTATTGAAGATTAGTTGGCTATAGGTCTGTAGGTTCGTTTCTGGGTTTTCAATTCTATTCCATTGGTCCTGAGGTCTGTTCTTGTGCCAGTACCAAGCTGTTTTGATTACTATGGCTTTGTAGTAGAGTTTGAAATTTGGTATTGATATTCCTCCAGCACTGTTCTTTTTGTTGAGGATCGTATTTGCTACTCGGGGTCTTTTATTGTTCCATATGATTTTTTGGATTGCCTCTTCTATTTCCTTGAAGAATGAGGTTGGAATATTGATAGGTATCACATTGAATTTATAGATAGCCTTGGGAAGTATTGCCATTTTCACGTGTTGATCTTTCCAATCCAGGAGCATGGGAGTTTTTGCCACTTTCTAAGTTCTGTTTTGATTTCCTTTTTTAAGTTTTTAAAGTTTTCATCATAGAGGTCCTTCACTTCTTTGGTTAAGTTAATTCCTAGGTATTTTATTTTTTGTAGGTCTATTACGAATGGAGTTGCTTTCCTAATTTCAGCCACACTTTTCTCATTGTTGGCATACAGAAAAGCCATTGATTTTTGAGGGTTAATTTTATACCCTGGTGCTTTGCCAAAGTTTTGAATCAGCTTGAGTAATTTGGGAGTGGAGTCTGTGGGATTCTTTAAATACAAGATCATGTCATCTGCAAAGAGGGAGAGTTTTACTTCTCCTTTCCCTATTTGGATCCCCTTTATGTTTGCATCTTGTCTTATTGCTGTAGCTAGGCATTCTAATACTAGATTGAAGAGAAGTGGAGAAAGTGGACATCCTTGTCTTGTTCCTGAGTTAAGAGGAAATGGCTTTAGTTTCTCACCATTAAGTATAATGGCTGGCTGTAGGTTTGTCATATACAGCCTTTATTGTATTGAGGTATGTTCCATGGATTCCTAATTTTTCCAGAACCTTCATCATGAAGCGGTGTTGGATCTTGTCAAATGCTTTTTCTGCATTAGATTTTTATCTGTCCTACCTTTAAGACCCGAGATGGAAGAAAGCCAGGAGTAGGCTGGGAATGTGGCTTAGTGGTAGAGTGCTTGCCTAGCATGTGTAAAGCCCTGGGTTCCATTCCTCAGTACCCCATAAACAAACAAAAAAAGCCAGAAGTGGCACTGTGGCTCAAGTGATAGAATGCTAGCCTTGAGCAAAAGAAGCTCAGGGACAGTGTCCAGACCCTGAGTTCAAGCCTCAGGACTGGCAAAAAAAAAAGAAAAAAAGAAAAGAAGAAGAAGAAGAAAGCCATGAGTATATTTGAATGTTGGCTTTTCACAGGGTCACAGATGCCCCTGATGTTGGCAGGAGAAATAGCATAGTTGAGATAACTGAGTGAGTCTGACAATGTGTTTGGTTCAGTGTGAGGCTTGTGCTGCTTGTTCTTGTAATATAGAGATCTTGGTAGTTTCATCATGCTGGTTTTACAGAGAAGGTAGGGGTGTGTGTGTGCGTGTGTGTGTGTGTGTGTGTGTGTGTGTGTGTGTGTGTGTTGTCAGGGAAATATTTTTAATTTTAAAAGAATTAATAGGGGTTGGAAAGGTGGCTTGGTGGTAGTATGCTTGCTTTGCATGCATGAGGCCCTGGGTTCAATTCCTCAGCACCACATAAGCAGAAAAAGCCGGAAGTGGGCGCTGTGGCTCAAGTGGTAGAAGGCTAGCCTTGAGCTGAAGAGTTGAAGGACAGCGCCCAGGCCCAGAGTTCAGGCCCCATGACCACCACCACCACCACCACCACCACCAACAACAACAAAAAACCATATTTGAACAAGTATGTTCTAAATACCAGAATGAATCCCTTTTGTACAAAAGATTACATGAAGAAAGTGGTAACATTTTTTCCAATTTCAAAAATATAGTGTATATTTGATATATTTGAAAGATACATAATTACACAAATAAAATATTGATAATCTGTAAATGAATACTCTTCACCCTTTTTTTTTTTTTTTTTTTTTGGCGAGTCCTGGGGGCTTGAACTCAGGTCCTGGGCACTGTCCCTCAGCTCTTCAGCTCAAGGTGAGTGCTCTACCACTTGAGCCACAGCACCACTTCCATATTTCTGGCTTTTTTCTGTGTGTGGTACTGAGGAATTGAACCCAGGGCCTCATGCATGCTAGGTGAACACTCTACCACTGAACCACATTCCCAGCCTACTCTTCACCTTTTGTTGTTTCTGCTTTCAGTTGTTTCACATTCATAAAAGATTGGTGGAAATACTAGACAGGAGTTAGGATGTTTGATTTGTACTAACATGGTTCATGGTTCAAGGCCAGATTAGGCAAAAATAAAGAAAATAAAAATATAAGGCTGGGAGCCAGTTGTTCATACCTATAATCTTAGGACGCTAAGATCTAAGGATTGAAGTTTGAAGCCCCCCAGGCAATGAATACTTTTTTATCAGTCCTCGGGCTTTTGGGCACTGTCCTTGTGCTTCTTTTTAGCTCAAGGCTAGCACTCTACCATTTGAGCCATAGCATCCCTTTTTCTGTTTATGTGATACTGGGGAATTGAACCTAGGGCTTCACATGTGCTAGGCAAGCATTTTACCACTGAGCCACCTTCCCAGCCCAATGAATACTTTGTGTTTATAAAACAAATATGTGTTAACAAAAGCATTTTCCCTTCAGAAGAAAGTCACCCTATATGCTACTTTTTCAAACATATGAACTCATAATTTAAATTTTAAAATAAGATTATTTTTGTTGCTGGGTACCATGGCTCACCTGTAATCCTATCTACTCAGGAGGCTGAGATCTGATGATCATGGTTCAAAGCCAGCCTGGGCAGGAAAGCCCATGAGACTCTTATCTCCAATAAACCATCAGAAAACCAGAAGTGGTGCTGTGGCTCAAGTGGTAGAGTACTAGCCTTGTGCTGAAGACAGCACCCAGGCCCAGAGTTGAAGCTCCATGACTGACAAAAAAAAATTATTTTTGTTTAGTTGTATAGATTATAGATTATATCAGATATTAAAGGTCATGCACATGGCAAATGGGACTCTCTGGATATTAGAATCAGTGAAAATGCAATGCCTACTCATTTTACAAAATATTTTTCCTGTGAAACATAGTTTTACATAGGTTTCCTTGGGTCTTTTGGCAGTAAAAGAAAAGAAAAGGAAAAGAAAGACTGAGCGTTTGTCTGACAAGTGCTTTGTAGTGCTCTGCAGAACCTGAGTCCAAACTCCCCAGGTTCATTCTTCACTTCCATGGTCTTTCTTCAATTATGTTACCTAAAACTCATCTAAAGAGATTGGTAATTATCTACTAGCCAGTTACCTCTAGCAATACTAAAATCCATTAATAATCACGTATGCATTACATTTTTTCTTCAGGATAGGAATTCTAGGTCCTAGAAAAAGAGAGGGCAAAAGAGAGATGTGAAACTTGAGAGCATACCTCCAAGTTCCTTATGATGTTCAAGGCAGATAGTGTTTTCCTTCTTGAGAATCAAAAAGCTTCCCTAAAACCCTGAAATCGAATAACATTCTGATTTTAGAGTAAGAGAAAGGGCACAGAAAGCTCAGGTAATTTAATGTAATTCACTGAGGTGTTTCTTATCTCCAGGATCATTTTGCCCTTATAATTAGAATGGCTTTGTTTGAGGCTGAGAGACGGAGATGGAATGTCAGGGAATGCTCCCGACACTATTGCAGGCCTCTGTGGCTGCCCTGGGAAGTGAACCTGCCTTGTAGGAAGATGTGGAGGCAAGGGAGATGGAGGACCATGCCTGTTTCCCTAAGGGTCTTTGTTCCAAATCTTCTAAGAATTCCATACTAGAACAATGGTTTTTTTTATTGCTGAATCTTTTAGGCTAGGATGGTAGTGCCTGCTTTGTGCACCAAGGCCACTTGTATGCAGCTCTCTCTTCCCTGATAATCGTCCATGTTCTCCGTGTGTGTGTGTGTGTGTGTGTGTGTGTGTGTGTGTGTGTGTGTGTGTGTGTGTGTGTGTACACACCAGTACAGTTGGGGCTTGAAATCACAGCCTGGGTGCTGTTGCTTGTTTTTTTGCTAAAGGCTGGTGTTCTTCCACTTGAGCCACAACTCCATTTCTGGCTTTTTGGTGGGTAATTGGAGATAAGAGTCTCATCTTCACATCTCAGTGTCCAAAGTTTCTAGGATTATGGGCTTGAGTACCTGGTCCATATTCTCTTATTGGTGATTTATTGGTGATTCTTTTTTTTTTTTTTTTGTTAGTTGTAAGGCTTAAACTCTGGGCCTGGACGCTGTCCTTGAGCTCTTCAAGTCAAGACAAGGGCTCTATCACTTGAGCCACAGCACCAGTTCCGGTTTTCTAGTGGTTATATTGGAGATAAGAGTCTTATGGACTTTCCTGCCCAGGCTGGCTTTGAATCATGATCCTCAGATCTCAACCTCCTGACTAGCTAGGATTGTAGGCATCCCACTTATCGAAGATTCTAAGAGTGTTATCTTTTTGAAGACCTCCATTGTAGCAAGTTTTTCTCCCACATGGTGTACTATGACTGACTCTTGTTTCCATACATTATAGATGTTTTGGGAAGAATTATTAAAATTCTATTAATCAAACATAGTAATAATCATTAAATTATTAAGGCATAGAACCATATGTGTACAAACTATACATAAGCCACAGTGTTTGCATAGTAGTCTTGCTGGTGGACACCACAGATGTGTCCTATATTACATGTGTACATGATCCGCCAGTTCATGTGGTTGCTTTTTTTTTTTTTTTTTGGCCGGTTGTGGGGCTTGAACTCTGGGCTTGGGTGCTATCCCTGCTCTCTTGAGCTCAAAGAGAGTGCTCTACCACTTGAGCCACAGCCACTTCTGGTTTTCTAGTGGTTAATAGAGATAAGAGTCTGATGGACTTGCCTGCCTGGGCTGGCTTTGAACCTGATCCTTTGATCTCAGCCTCCTGAGTAGCTAGGATTACAGGTGTGAGCCACCAACACCCGACTGGTTACTTTTTTTTTTTTAATGTGGTTTCTTTGAAGTCTGTTGAGATATTGTGTTAAATATGTTTATTTTTAGGTTGTTTGGTTTGAACCGAATTGAACAATATATCATAATGAAATTCTAGTACTTTTTTCTTTTGCTTTTTTTTTGGGGGGGGGGGTCCAGTCGTGGGGCCTGAACTCTGGGCCTGGGTGCTGTCCCTCAGCTCTTCAAGCTCAAGGCTAGCGCTCTACCACTTGAGCCACAGCACCACTTCCGGCTTTTTTCTTTTTGCTTATGTGGTGCTGAGGAATCGAACCCAGGGCCTCAGACATGCAAGGCAAGCGCTCTACCACTGAGCCACCTTCCCAGCCCCTTTGTTTTGTTTTGTTTGTCAGTCGTGGGGCTTGAACTCTGAGCCTGAGCACTGTCCCTCAGCTCTTTAGCTCAAGGCGAGCGCTCTAATACTTGAGCTACAGCACCACTTCCTCTAGTACTTTTTTTTTTGTACTGGTTCTGGGGCTTGAATTCAGGGTCTAGATGCTCTGCTTTAGCTTTTCTCCCAAGGCAGGATTTCTACCCTGTGAGCCACAAGTCCATTTCTGACATTTTGCTGGTTATTGGAGGTGAAAAGTATCATGGACTGTTCTGCCTGGGCTGGCTTATTGTGATCCCCAGATCTCAGTTCCCTGAGTAGCTAGGATTACAGGCATGAGCTACCAACACCTGGCTGAAATTCTGATACTTTAAAAATATTGGAACTCAGCTATAATTTATTCATAAGCATGTTGATCAGCCTTATTCCTTATTGTTATTGAATGTAGCCAGCAGTACATATATTAGTTTTGGTTTATTTCTGAATGCATTTATCACCCTAATAATACTGTTTATTATTAATATTCTTTTATAGATGTGAAAAAGGTGTTATGTCTTTGGTGAATGTTAGGAACTGTATTCGTTTCTATCAGACTGCAGAAGAACTGAATGCCAGCACATTGATGAACTACTGTGCAGAAATTATTGCAAGTCATTGGGTAAGTGAGAGATGTGTATAGACAGTGCTCTTGCTGGCAGGAGAGTCCCAGGTGTGGAACCTTGTTCTGTCAGCACTCATCTTTCTGGTTTCTGGCATCTTCTTGTGACAGTATTGACAAACAAGTAGTTAGATTAGGTGATCAGTGAGGTTCTTCAGTTCTAGAGTCTGTTAGTTATATGATTTCAGAGTACAGGACAAAGTAACTCAGGTTCAAGAGCAGAACTACATAGAGGGACATTTGCCTTCGCTCTCCTGAGGAAGCTGCAGCCAAGTCTCAGGGGCAGGATGCCCTGTGCCCCAGCATTCCTTGCTGTCAGGTGGAGGCATTATTAAATTTAGACTCGCCTTTCTTAGTAGTTCTCATTTATAGAGAACTATATTTGTTATATTTGGGGTTTTTTGTGAAATTTTTAAAAAGATCAATGCTATGTGTTACAAACTAATTTCAGCAGATTGGATTGCTTGGTATACAACAACACTATGGGAAGGATCTTAGTAGTTTCTAAAAATTATATAAAAGAACTAGTTTTAAGGGCTGGGAAGGTGGCTCAGTGGTAGATTGCTTGCCCTTACAAGCATGAGACCCTGGGTTTGATTCCTCAGCACCACATAACCAGAAAAAGCCAGAAGTGGCGCTATAGATCAGAAGGTAGAGCCTAGCCTTGAACTGAAGAGCTGAGGCCCAGGCCCAGAGTTCAGGCCCCACGACTGGCTCCCCCCCCAAAAAGATCTAGTGTTAATTGGTTGGGAATGTGGCTTAGTGGGTAGAGTGCTTTCCTAGCATGCATGAGGCCCTGGGTTCGTTTCCTTGCTACCACATAAACAAGTAAAATAAAGTAAAAAGAACTAGTGTTGAAATAATTGAAATAGGAGTGGTAACTTTTTTCTGCTAATAGGTTGAAATAAAAGAGATTTAAAATATTAGGGACCAGCTATAATTTAGTGGAGTGGATTATTTGTGGTAGTTTTGCTTAATTCTGTAATTGCTATGGTCTTTGAGACTTACTGGGGAGAGGACTCTGCTCTCTTGTTGGAGATCAGCATTGCTCATACCAGCTATACTAATCACAGAGGTGCAGCCCAGCTGTGACAGCGCAGGCTCAGGTGGTTCCTCTTGGGTCCAGACTCTGATGTGGCTATTTACTCACTGTCTGAATATAAGTTTATTAGCTTCTACAGGCTTTCCTTTCTTTATCTGAACAGTGGGGATCATTGTAGGACCTACCTCATAAGTTTTGTGAGGATTGAATTAATTAGGAAGTCTAAGCCCTTAGAGTAAGCCAGGCACATGCTCAGTGACTATTTATTTATTTATTTATATTTTTTTTCTCTTTTTTTATTGTGAAAATACTGTACAGAGGGGTTACAATTACATGAGCAAGATAATGAGTACATTTCTTATCAAGCATTGTAGCCTCCTCCTTTGTTTCCCCTTCCCATCCCTTCACATCCTCCCCTCCCTGCCCTCCCACCCAATCCTCCCCGCTCCCTCCACCCCCACCAAAGTTGGACATAACAAAGTTTTCGACATAACGACTTGTACATCTCTTTGTTGCAGTGGGTCCACCTGTATCCCTATTTAAACAATTTGTTTTTCTCCTTCCCCTCCACAAATTATACCAACTCAGTGACTATTTAATAGGTGACAGTTGTTATTATTAACAAATTGTTTGTTTTGTTTCCCATTGTGTTTTTAATCCTAGGATGACTTGCGAAAGGAGGATTTTAGTAGCATGAGTGCTCAGCTGTTATACAAAATGATCAAGTCTAAGACAGAATACCCATTACATAAGGCTATCAAAGTGGAGAGAGAAGATGTAGTCTTCCTTTACCTGATTGAAATGGATTCTCAGGTATTATAGCCGCCTTTTTATCTTCCCTGTCTTTTCCCAAAACTGGAATGTACTTGTGTTTCTCAGTAGTGTTCCTTCTAAACTATATCTCACATGATCTTTTTTTCCTTTTTCTTTTTTGCCAGTCCTGGGGCTTGAACTCAGGGCCTGGGCACTGACCCTGAGCATCTTTTGCTCAAGGCTAGTACTCTATCACTTGATCCACAGCACTACTTCTGGCTTTTTTTGTTTATGTGGTACTGAGGAATCAAACTCAGGGCTTCATGCATGCTAGGCAAGCACTTTACCACTAAGCCACATTCCCAGCCTCGCATGATCTTTAATGTGTATATTTCTTCTAGAAATTATTTCAGGAAGTCTGGGTGTTTCCTATATTGTTTCTTAAAAATCTAGTATCATCAGCCCATCATCTCCCAATGCCAGAGCTACTTCTACATTTTTAGATGGTTATTATAGCAGTACCTGTCTATCAGGTGCCAAAGTCTATCAGTTTATTTGCTGCTATAGCAAATTGCCAAAAAATTGTAGCTTAAAATAATACAGATTTATTATTTTGCAGTTTGCAAACTCAAAGAACTATATAGGCATCATTGGACTCAAATCAAATGTTGATAGGTTGGGTTCCTTTAGGGACACTATAAAGTGAACCCATTTCCTGCTCACTTAGGTTGTTGGCAGAATTCAGTTTCTGGTGGTAGAAGAGGAACCGAGGTCCCCATTTTTCTTGTTGGCTGTCTTCTGAGGACCATTCTCAGCTTCTAGATACAATCACATTCCTTGGCTTGTGGCCATCTGTCTCCATTATAAAAGCTAGCAATGACAGATCAATCCTTCTGATGTTACATTGCCCTGACCAGCTCTTCAAGTTTTCTCTTTTACTAGATTGGGTCCTCCTTGGGTAGTCATGACACTCCCTGTCTCAAAGTCTTTAGCCTTTATCACAGTCCCTTACTTTCTTTCCTTCTTTCCTTTCTCTCTCTCTCTTTTTCTTTTTCTCTCTTTTCCCTTCCTACCTCCCTCTCTTCCTTCCTTCCTTCCTTCCTTCCTTCCTTCCTTCCTTCCTTCCTTCCTTCCTTCCTTCCTTCCTTCCTTCCTTCCTTCCTTCCTTCCTTCCTTCCTTCCTTCCTTCCCCACACTCTCTCTCTTTGTTTTTTTAAATTTTTTAAAATCATATAAGATGACATATCCTCAGGTCCTGGGGGTTAGGACACAGACACCTTGAGGCGGGGCATTGTTCTGTCTATCACATTGCCTTCTAGGAAAATGAGAGTGAAGTATCTTGTATCCTAAGTGTTCAGTGTATAGGAGAACATGGAACTGTTGGGAGAAATTTCTTGACCCATAACATGTCTGAACTTCTGCCTTGACACTGGATCTGTCCTGTGATCCTGGTTCTTACATGTATAATTTCCTGCCCTGACACCCACTGTGATCCTTGACAGTCCTGCATGTTGTTTACATCTGTCCTGTTAATCTGTTCTTTCTGTGCTCCCTGAAATCATGTGCCTGAAGCTTGACAGAGGTTTGTGAATAAAGTTGAATTTGGGGAGTAAGCTATGTCAGGTATTAAGATTTGGCATTTGTGGGGCTGGGAAGGTGGCTCAGTGGTAGAGTGCTTGCCTTGCATGCATGAGGCCCTGGGTTCAATTCCTCAGCACCACATTAGCAGAAAAAGCTGGAAATGGCACTGTGGCTCAAGTGGTAGAGTGCTAGCCTTGAGCTGAAGAGCTGAGGGTCAGCGCCCAAGCCCAGAGTTCAGGACCCACGACTAGCAAAAAAAATAAAAAGATTTGGCATTTGTATAAGAGATGGTATATAAGATTAAGTGAAATAAATAAAAATCCATTGTATTTTCCATTGTCTGGATGCTTACTTACAAACTTCTCTATGTAGCTACCTGGGAGGCTGAATGAAGTGGATCAAGATGGAGACCTTGCCTTAGATTTAGCCCTTTCACGGCAGCTGGAGAGCATTGCTGCCACTCTGGTCAGTCATAAAGCTGATGTGGACATGGTAGACAAGAATGGCTGGAGCTTGTTACATAAAGGAATCCAAAGAGGTAAGAAGAAATGGTGTGTGTGTGTGTGTGTGTGTGTGTGTGTGTGTGTGTGTGTGTGTGTGTGTGTGTGTGTGTGTGTGTGTGTGTGTGTGTGTGTGTGTGTGTGTGTGTGTGTGTGTGTGTGTGTGTGTGTGTGTGTGTGTGTGTGTGTGTGTGTGTGTGTTTTTAGGTGCAGTTGTGTGTGTGTGTGTGTTTTTTTAGGTGCAGTTGTGGGGCCTGAACTCTGGGCCTGGGTGCTGTCCCTCAGCTCTTCAGCTCAAGGCTAGCGTTCTACCACTTGAGCCACAGTTCCACCTCCGGCTTTTTTCTTTTTGCTTATGTGGTGCTGAGGAATCGAACCCAGGGCCTCATGCATGCAAGGCAAGCGCTCTACCACTGAGCCACCTTCCCAGCCCATGGCTTGTATATTTTGCTATATAATTTATTTTTATCCATATTGTCTTTGAAAGCTTCCCAACATATTTCCCAAAAGCATCTATACTTACTAGCTATGTGATTTAAAACTTGTAATTATTGGCCAGATGCTAGTGGCTCATGCCTGTAATCCTAGCTACTCAGGAGGCTGAGATCTGAGAATAATGGTTCAAAGCCAGCCTGGGCAGGAAAGTCCGTGAGACTCTTACCTCCAATAAACCACTCAGAAAACTGGAAGTGGCGCTGTGGCTCAAGTGGTAGAGTGCTCACTTTGAGCTGAAGAGCTGAGGGACAGCACCCAGGCCCAGAATTCAAGCCCCACAACTGACAAAAAACAAAACAAAACTTGTGATTATTGGGTCAGAGGAGGGGTTAAAGACCTATTTACTGTGCCTTGTTAGCTTGGTTGTTGATAGTGCTTGGTTGTTGATAGGACCTGAGGAGGAACAGGTAGAAACATGGCCTGTGAATGCCTTGTAAGCAATTGATGGGGCTATTTATTATGATATGGCTATATTCATTATTATCACTTTTCTAGGAATAGTGGTAGGAAGGTTCTTATTGTGCATCCTAGCATGTATGTAAGGAAAGTTAAAATCACAAACATTCAACCTGCAAAGGGCACTTCGTGGATTCTGTGTTTTCTCCTTCCAGACTAGCTTTCTGTCATGGCACAGTGCCAAGGTGGTATTTTGTTCTATGAAAGTTAATGTGAAATTATACGTAATATTTTATTGTCAGTAGTGGGAAGAATATAGAAATGTTAGAACTGGAGTAGAAATACTTTAATCATAATGAGTAACTTTGTTTATTTTGTAGTGCTCAGGAACTTGGGGGGTAGTAGGCAATGGTCTGCCATTGACTCACACCCCCAGACATGAATTAACTTTTCATTTTATTCCAATTATGGGAATTGGACCTGGGTAGTATCCCTGAACTTTTTTTTTTTTTTCTCAAGGCTAGCACTCTTCCATTTGAGCCACAGCTCCACTTCTGGCTTTTTGTGGTTAGTTGGAGTTAAGAATCCCATGGACTTTCATACTCAAGCTGGGTTTCAACCCCTTCCTTCAGATCCCAGCCTCCTGAATAGCTAGTATAATAGGCATGAGCCACAGATTAATTAATGCCCCCCCAACTCTGCCCCCAGTTAGTTCTGGGGCTTGAATTCAGGGCCTGGGCACTCTCTAAGCTTCTTTTGCTCAAGGCTAGCACTCTGCCACTTGAGCCACAGCTCCATTTCTGGCTTTTTGGGTAGTTTACTTGAGATAAAAAAATCTCACAGACTTTTCCTGCTGTGGCTGGCTTTGAACTGTTATCCTCAGATCTCAGCCTCCTGAGTAGCTAGCATTATAGTTGTGAGCCACCAGAGTCTGGTTGCAGTAACTTTTTTTTTCTTTTTTTTGCAAGTCCTGGGGCTTGAACTCAGGGCACTATCCCTGAGCTTCACTTGCTCAAGGCTAGGACTCTTTATTACTTGAACCACAGTGCCCCTCCTGGCATTTTCTGTTTATGTGGTACTGAAGAATCAAACTCAAGGCTTCATGCATGCTAAGCAAGCACTCTACCACTAAGCCACATTCCCAGCCTGAAGTAACTCTTTAAATGGGAAAAAAAAAAAAGATTAGTTTTTTTCTTTTGTCCTTCCCATATTCCTATTAATATGTTCCAAACAAATCCTGCCATTAGTTTGCCATGGTCATTTTTGACAGAGTAAGAATCTGTAGAGAGGTAGAGTTCCTATATGGCTTTCAAAAATCAAAGGTCTGGAAGCTGAGTGCTATGGCTCAAATGGTAGAGCTCTAGCCTTGAGCAAAAGAAGCCCAGGGACAGTGCCAACACCCTGAATTTAAACTCTAGGACCACCACCAAACTTATAATTTTTAGCACGCATGCACACACACACACACACAAAAGATCTTTCAAGAAAGAATACGTCTATGCAGTGCAATCTTAGAGATCTAAAAAAACATATGTCTATTCCTCAACTATCATCTGTCCTCCACTTCTTGTATATTTAAATTCTATTAACAGGAAATAAGCTCTATTAATGGGGTATAAGCTCTTTTAACAAGAAATAAGCTCTTTCATTTCACAAGAGAGATGAGACTGACACATACTTTTGTGGAAAGAGGATGATGATTTCATGAATAAATTGAATTCCAACATATAAAAAAAAAATCAAAGCCTGGTAGAGTTCCTACCTAACAAGCAGGAGGCTGTGAGTTCAATGTCCCACAGTGACAAAAAAAAAAGTCGTCAGGTTGCCATTGCCTCACGCTTTTAGTCCTAGCTACTCAGGGGGCTGAGATCTGAGGATCACCCTTCAGAGCAAGCCTGGGCAGAAAAGTCCATGAGATTCTTATCTCCAATTAATCCCAAACCAGAAGTAGAACTGTGAGGGTTAGAGCACAGGCTCTGCTCAGGGATAGCACTCAAACCCTGAGTTCAAGCTCCAGTACCAGAATACACATAAAAGAGAGACAGAGACAAAGACTCAGAAAGAGAAATGAAGGGGGGGGGGGAGAGAGAGAGAGAGAGAAAAGAGAGACAGAAAAAGAAAGGAAAGAAAAAGAGAGAAAGAAAGAAGAGGCTGGGAATGTGGCTCAGTGGTAGAGTGCTTGCTTCGCATGCATAAGGCTCTGGGTTTGATTCCTCAGCACCACATAAACATAAAATGCTGGAAGTGGCTCTGTGGCTCAAGCGATAGCACTGTAGCCTTGAGCTGAAGAGCTGAGGGACAGCACCCAGGCCCAGAGCTCAAGACCACGACCGACAAAAAAAGAGAAAAGAAAGAAAAGGAAAAGTCAGTCCTACTTAATTTTATAGAGGAACGTAGCTGGCTTGATTGCAGTACTTGCATTATGATATTTTATTGTCTCTGCTATAATGTTACCATTAACAGGTTACTTCTCTTTGAAAGAATGTTGTATTTGATGGGGCTGGGAAGGTGGCTCAGTGGTAGAGCGCTTGCCTTGCATGCTCGAGGCCCTGGGTTCAATTCCTCAGCACCACATAAGCAAAAAGAAAAAAGCCAGAAGTGGTGCTGTGGCTCAAGTGGTAGAGCGCTAGCCTTGAGCTGAAGAGCTGAGGGACAGTGCCCAGGCCCAGAGTTCAGGGCCCACGACTGGACCCAAAAAAAAAAAAAAAGAAAGAAAGAATGTTGTATTTGCATGTTGATCCTGTTGCAGCTGTGGCTTTGCCCTTTTTCGGCCAAGATTTTAATATAAATATACTTCTATGCCCTGTGTTAAACTGTTGAGTTTGCTGGCTTATACAGAGGAAATTCTTGCTCATTACTGGGTAGGAAATCCTTAGATCATGTTAGTGTCATGAGCGGATGCATTTTCCCAAGCACTGCTCTGTGACATACAGAGCCATTGAGTGCTTAGCTATGGGTATGTGTTCAGTAGAGAAAGTTTCCACCACATAGGAATTGTTCTTTCCCAGACTGTGTAGTGAGTGAGACGTTTGTTTTGGAAACAAAAACACTAGTTACTGAGAAGACAAACGAATTATATTCCTTTCCCCTCACAGAGTTAAATTCTTATGCTTGATGAAAGAATTCTCTGATGTTATTAAATATTTTGGCAATTGCTTAGTTACAAGCATTGCCAGGAATTGTTGACGCACTTTTGATGTTTGTTTTCAGATTACTCAGTCTTTCACTCTGAATTTATGAATTTCCTATAAGCATGTGGATTACAGTGGAGATAGAGGAAAGATTTATGGTTGCTAACTTTAGAGAGTGTGCTGTGGTTGGCAGATCACTATGATTTGGAACTTGAATATACCAAAGTTTGAATCCTGCTTCATCTTAACTATAGTGTCTTCTTTCCCTTATCTTTCTGATTCACTGGGCTGTTGGAAGAGTGGGAGACAGAGAGCAGCACACCTAGCACATTGACTGCCAGTTGGCTTGTAGGGATAAGCTGGTGGCTTTTCCCTTACCCTTATAATCAGATCCAGTTCCTACAAGAATTTTTCATTTAGAGCTTGAGTGAAAAACACTACACCCTTGATTTTCTGAGTAGCTAAGATTATAGTCATGTGCCACCATCCCTGAGAAATTATTGTGATAATAACTTGTTTACCTAGCATTGTTAATGAGTGAAGTGTTAAAATATCCAAAACTCTTAAGTACCAAACAATGTAATTAAAAAATTTTTTTTTCAGTGCTAAATGCAGGAGCCAGGTGCCAGTGGCTCACACCTGTAATCTTCTAGCTACTCAGCAAATTGAGATCTGAAGATTGTGGTTTAAAGCCAGCCCAGGCAGGAAAGCCCATGAAACTCCAATAAACTACCAAAAAAAAAAACAAAAAACAGCCGGGCACTTGTGGCTCACGCCTGTAATCCTAGCTACTCAGGAGGCTGAGGTCTGAGGATCGCGGTTTGAAGCCAGCCCTGGCAGGAGAGACCGTGAGACTCCTATCTCCAATAAACCACCAGAAACCCAGAAGTGGTGCTGTAGCTCAAGTGGTAGAGCGCTCGCCTTGATCTGAAGAGCTGAGGTACAGCGCCCAGGCCCAGAGTTCAAGCCCCACGACCGACCAAAAACAAAAAACAAAAAAACCCCTGGAAGTGGAG